CCCCCTCTTTCTCCCCCCTCCCCATTGTTACAAACTGCCATTTGTAACTGTTATTTTATTTGACAAATTGCCCTGCTTCCCTGTGCTATGGAGAAGCCTAATTGCCAGCCTTCTGCCCCATGACTATGGACCTAGTGTGTATGGCGATTTGACTGTATTTGTGGGATCTGAGCGCTGTTTGGATATATTGAGCGCTCAGATCCAAGCCATCTGGGGATGGGTTGAATGTGGGGGTTCTGTTCAGTTCAATAGGAGTTATGTATTTTTGTGTCTTTTTGTGTCTTTTGCTAACATGTGGTTAATGGAGTCTGCCTCTATCCCTGGATAATTGGATTACTTTCCCCATTGTCCAGGATAGAGGGCTCTGTAAATCCGGTTTGGGCCAGAAAACCATGCTGCCAGCTAGGCCCCAAAAGATACTTTTGCTAACTTTTGAACCCCTTGTCTGATTTGTGCCAGTTTTAATATGTTGCTCCCCTGAATGGATTGATTCTAAATATGTATTTTTTATGAAGATTGGATGTGTAGTTTGGAAGTTATAGTACATGTATAAAAACTGTATTTTTACTGTTCTGTTTTAATTATGTTATGTGTTTATCTGAGGGATGGGAATTTCCCTGAATGTATATTGTTCCGATTGGTTATACTGCTAATTATGTGGGTGTCTCCCTTGCATGGGCAGAATCTCATAAAAGCAGAGTGTGTGCCATTAAACATCAGATCTTCTTGACCCTCTAACTTGCAGCCTTGGCTCATGTTTGTAGGGGACAGCTATAATCACTACAGGGATTGCTATGCTCTTCATACTCCCTTAGCTACTGAGCTCTTGTAAGAGCTCTTGTTCCTGATCCTGCTTCGCTCTGCAGAAGGAAGAGGTTCACCTACTGGAACCTGGAGCCTGGTCGTGGGTCCAGGGCACAGAGCAGACGGCGAGATACCAGCCCAGCAGCGGCGGTTCGTGGAGTCTGCAGTACTTATGGTGGCTACGCAGTAGTTATGGTGTCTACGGTGCTGATGGTCCTTTGGTGAGCGCTAGGAGCATCCTTTTCTACGGTCCAACTTCCAGCCAGCCTGGAGGCAACCGTAACACCCATCTCTCTGTTCCCCCTCTTTCTCCCCCCTCCCCATCTCTGTTCCCCCTCTTTCTCCCCCTCCCCATATCTCTGTCACCACCCCTCTTTCTCCCCCCCTCCCCATATCTCTGTCCCCCCCTCTTTCTCCTCCCTCCCCATATCTCTGTCCCCCCCTCTTTTCTCCTCCCTCCCTCCCCATATCTCTGCATGAAACGCGGCCGGCCCCCTGTTGCGGGCCTGTTGTCGGGTCACAACCGGATAGGCTTCTTGTACTGTGGGCTGTGGAACAAAAGCTGAAGTCAGCTCCCCCAAGTCATTGCCCAAAATCACATCTGCGGGCAAGTCTTGCATCATCCCCACATACACATTCCCGTGCTCCCCAATTCAAGTGTACCTTGGCCGTTGGTACCTTGTAAATGGCTCCCCCCGCCACCCGTACAGCCACACAGCCCCAGTGAGCTTGGGCTTTGGTACCAAATGACTTCGGACTAGAGTTAAGGTAGCCACAGAGTCACAAAGTCCTTGTACTTTTCTCCCTTCCATATGTACCTCCTGACGGTGCCCTTGGTGGTTATCGGAGGCGGCCTGGATGGGGTTCACCTCGTGTAGGGTGCCTAGCGGTTCCTCCAGGGTTGCCCCCAGCTCTGGGGTTTGGTAGGATTCGGCCTGTAGACAGTGTATGGCCGCACAGCTGCTTGGTGCTGCGTTATTCCAGCTGGGTCTGGGCCGATTCCGTGGGCAGTCTCTCTGAATGTGCCCCTGTTGGTTGCAGGTATGGCACCGAATTGGTGGGCGTGCTGGATACCTAGGGGTGTAGGAATTCTAGCTTACCCCTGGTCGTTGGTGAGTTGTGGGGCCCCCTGGGGTGCCGGTTATTGCAGGGGTGATGACGGCTCTGGTTGGTGCGGGTTGATCTCTCCTATTGTCTTGGAACTCGTCTGCCATGTTAGCCGCTTCCTGCAGGGTGTGTGGTTTTCTGTCCCGGATCCAATTCTGTAGATATGCAGGGATGCCATTGAAGAATTGCTCCAGTACCATCAGCTGAAACAGGCCCTCCAATGTATTAACTTGGGTGGCCTCCAACCACCCCTTTGCAGCTCGCTGCAGCTGGTGTGCCCATTCCACATGAGTGTCTTTAGTGGATTTTTTAATGTCCCGAAACTTCATACGGTACGCCTCAGAGCTGATCGCATACCGGGCTAGAATGGCCCGTTTCACCTTACTGTAGTCTCTACTATCCTCGTCTGGCACTGCCCGGTATGCTTCGGTGGCTCGCCCAGATAATCTCCATGCTAGTAGGGGTACTCGGTCTGCATCGCTGATCTCATGCAGCAAACACAGCCTCTCAAAGTCCTGTAAGTAGTCGTCAACGCCACCGTCAGCCTCCACATAGCTTTTAAAGGCTTGATATGGGATTTTGGCTTTCCCTGGGAAGATATTGACTGGCGTTGCGGCTCTTTCTCCGGCTTGCTGGTTCCCTTGCGTCCTCCTAGACATGATGTACTCCTGTACATCACCGAAGAGCCTGTCAACCATCTCTGTAGATGGGGGTTCAGGAAATAAAGCTCTGAATTTGGCTGTAAATTCGTGGGGTTCTCCCTCTATTTGAGGTGCTGCAGCAGCTGCGGCTCTGTCTCCTTCCATGAGCTCTGTAATTAGGACAGCCTTTGCCTTGTTACTGGCTATTGCTCCTCTTGCTTCCAGCAGCTCCTTTAGTGTGCTCCGTTTTAGCAGGGCGTAATTTGTTCCCATTCACCGGCTGTTCATGGGGTTCCTTCGAATGAGCTAATTCCCGAATTGCTGCTCCTTGATTCACTTTAAATTCTGCCGAACGTTGCTTTGCTGTGTAGATTCAATCCCGTCGCTTGCCACCAATTGTAGCGGAGAGGTAGTATAATCCACGATATCTCCACTGGGTAACAGGAACAACAAAGGATAATCCAGGGAATCAGCATACAATAATCCAAACAGCACTGCAGTAACCCTTCCTTCCCAAGAACTAGACGACACATAGGCTGGGAGTCAACTGAGGTCTTTTAATGCAGCTCCACAATTTATACAAGTCCCCATGCAAGGGGTTTCCTGAGTCCCCTCCCAGGGGCATTCCCAGAGGGGACTATATGGGGGACTTACAATACAGGACATTTCTCCCATCAGGCACTGCTGCACGAGAGGGATCCTCCCACAGGAATGTACGTTAAGTGGATTATCCCTCCGTGCAGCAGAACTTACAATTCGCATTAAATTGCATAACTTTATGGATATCTGGTCCATTTAAACGAATGGACGTTCGGTAGATAGCTGGGGTCTGAGCGCATCATTCGTGAGATTACCGCTCAGATCCCAGCTAAAACAACCGAACGCCGCACGAAAAACACATTCATTAAAACATAGCTTCAAAACACTGATTGTATATAAGGGAACAGAATACCGAACGTCCCGGACCTCCCGAACGGCCTGGAAGCTCAGCGGTGTTCGTGCCGTCGAGTAGCCGTTTTTGCGCTCGACGACCAAAACACTGCTAAGGGAACAAAGGATCCAAGATGGCCGACCGCTGCATGGTCGGTAGTCGAACGACGGCCACCTTGGAGAGCCTCTAATTACCGATTGCAACACTGTTGCAATTGGTTAATAGGCGCCACACGCCTCTAAGTGTGTGGGCTATTAACTGATGATTTGTTCGGTTCCCGAACGGCCCGCAAAGGTGCCGTTCGTGAAACGAAAGGGAATCAGCTATCTGCTTTCGGCAGATAGCCCAGGCAGGAAATACAGCATTACCATTACATTACATTACACGCTGGAACACATAACATGAAAACCATACCGGCAACCCTTAAAGAGACAGTACATAAATAATGTCCAAGTGGCTAGGTTTGCCACAAGCGGTGTTCGCGCCGTCGAGTAGCCGTTTTTAGTACCACGCGCTCGACGACCACTGGGGGAACAAAGGATCCAAGATGGCCGACCGCCGCATGGTCGGTAGTCGAACGACGGCCACCTAGGAGAGCCTCTAATTACTGATTGCAACATTGTTGCAATCGGTTAACGAGCGCCACACTTCTCTCGATGTGTGGGCTATACATGGGGTCTTATTCGGTTCACGAACAGCCCGCAAAGGCGCCGTTCGTGAAACGAAAGGAAATCAGCTATCTGCTTTCGGCAGATAGCCAATGCAAGTAGTACAATGTTAGGCAATCACAGTATATACACACAGTAACATACTCATCCTCAAAACAGCACAGGCAACCCTTAAAGCTATAGTCTTCATATAATGTCCAAGTGGCTAGGTCTGCCACAATGACGTCAGTCCGTTGACGTCAGTTGTTCAGGTTGTGCCTGTTTTCAGTATGGCAGCAGGCTGTCCGTTGACGTCAGTTGTTCAGGTTGTGCCTGTTTTCAGTATGGCAGCAGGCTGTCCGTTGACGGCAGTTGTTCAGGTTGTGCCTGTTTTCAGTATGGCAGCAGGCTGTCCGTTGACGGCAGTTGTTCAGGTTGTGCCTGTTTTCAGTATGGCAGCAGGCTGTCCGTTGACGGCAGTTGTTCAGGTTGTGCCTGTTTTCAGCATGGCAGCAGGCTGTCCGTTGACGGCAGTTGTTCAGGTTGTGCCTGTTTTCAGTATGGCAGCAGGCTGTCCGTTGACGGCAGTTGTTCAGGTTGTGCCTGTTTTCAATATGGCAGCAGGCTGTCCGTTGACGGCAGTTGTTCAGGTTGTGCCTGTTTTCAGTATGGCAGCAGTCTGAGATTTTGGCTTCCAATGAATTAGGCTCAGAGGTCTGTAATAGTGAAATATAGTCCTAACAGTCCTAGACGTATATTATTGTACGGTAAGAAGCAATCTGAGAGGGTTTTCAGTAGACGTGTGCAATTTGCTTTGGCAAAATTTTAATTTATTTTAATTTAGTTATTAATTAATCTGATGATTAATCTGAATCATCTGAATTCTGTAACTCCAAAGCGCCATATGGACATAGCACCGAACATGCGACTTTCGATGAGTACAATCATGATTCGGAGTGTTTTTTCTGGTGCCGGGGAGGAGTATTAGCTGACTTGTTCTTTATGGAGGACAAACAAAACAGCTTAGTTTGCCATTAAGGACAAATAAAGACGTGATGGCGGCTGAATCTCTTGTCCAATCGAGAGGTGAAAAAACTATGCTCCAAATAGGAGTCCTATAGACCAGATACTACTGCAACACAACAACGTGCTGTGTATATCAGTGGCGGCAGGCGAGGTTTTAATATGGCGGGCGCCAGACTCCTCCACCAGAATTTTACTCCTTTCTGTACAATACAGAGACACTCATACAATACAGAGAGCTGAGTATAATACAGAGACACTCATACAATACAGGGAGCTGGGTATAATACAGAGACACTCATACAATACAGGGAGCTGAGTATAATACAGAGACACTCATACAATACAGGGAGCTGGGTATAATACAGAGACACTCATACAATACAGGGAGCTGAGTATAATACAGAGACACTCATACAATACAGGGAGCTGAGTATAATACAGAGACACTCATACAATACAGAGAGCTGAGTATAATACAGAGACACTCATACAATACAGGGAGCTGAGTATAATACAGAGACACTCATACAATACAGGGAGCTGAGTATAATACAGAGACACTCATACAATACAGGGAGCTGAGTATAATACAGAGACACTCATACAATACAGGGAGCTAGTACAATACAGAACACTCATACAATACAGGGAGCTGAGTACAATACAGAGAGACACTCATATACAATACAGAGGAGCTAGAGTATTATAATACAGGAACACTCCTTGTACAATACAGAGAGCTGAGTATAAGCGCAGAACACTCACTGTACAGAGAGAGCTAGAGTACAATACAGAGACACTCATACAATACAAGAGGCGGTATATACAGAACACTCACTTACAATACAGAGAGCTGGTATAATACAGAACCTCATACAATACAGGGAGCTGAGTATAATACAGAACACTCATACAATACAGGGAGCCCAGAGTATAATACAGAAGATACTCATACAATACAGAGAGCTGAGTATAATACAGAGACACTCATACAATACAGGGGCTAGGTATAATGCAAGAGACACTCATACAATACAGGAGCTGAGTATAATACAAGTGCTCATACAATACAGGGAGCTGAGTATAATACAGAACACTCATACAATACAGAGCTAGGTATAATACAGAACACTCATACAATACAGGGAGCTGAGTATAATACAGAGACACGCATACAATACAGGGAGCTGAGTATAATACAGAGATATTTATACAATACAGGGAGCTGAGTATAATACAGAGACACTCATACAATACAAGGAGCTGGGTATAATACAGAGACACTCATACAATACAGGGAGCTGAGTATAATACAGAGACACGCATACAATACAGGGAGCTGAGTATAATACAGAGATATTTATACAATACAGGGAGCTGAGTATAATACAGAGACACTCATACAATACAAGGAGCTGGGTATAATACAGAGACACTCATACAATACAGGGAGCTGAGTATAATACAGAGACACGCATACAATACAGAGAGCTGAGTATAATACAGAGCGTCTTGGAGTTCGAGGTCAGAATTTGAGAAAATGGCAGAAAGTAGGTCACATATAGAGGTTTGTGTGGTGGACCACCAGTGTATCGTCGCCACAGACTCCCTTTCCCAGTGTGAAGTAGCTCTGTCCAACTGCTGAAGTGATTATAGCTGGTATAGCTTTCCCCCTATATATAATAATGTTGGGAGTAGATCTGTTTTATTCAGCCAAAACACACAGAATTTATACAGAGACCACCCAGCATGGGGTCTCCATAGAGAATAACAAACTCCTCCCAGGCATCTCTGTTTCTGGCAGATAATTGAGTCAAAAGCCTGGTAAATCAATTATCTCCCAGTTACAGGAAAACTTAACATTCTTCACAAAACACCATAGAACCCCATTAATCCCACACAGGAACCTCATATATCCTATATCCCCAGATAGCCCGGATCTGAGTACCCAAGTTGTCTAAATAGCACTCAGAATCACCACCTGGGTAAAGTTTTGACGGGCCAGCTAACTGTAACAGATCACCTGGCACCCTGAATGGTTACCTCCACCAACAAATGTTTCCTAGCTGATGCTGAGGACCATAAGCACCGCACCAGACACTACAAGCCCCACAGACTCCACAAAAGCCGTAGCTTAGCTGGAATCTCGCCGTCTTCCTCCCACCTTGGACCAACCTCTGATATCCAGGACAGTGTGGGAAGGACCTCTCCTACTTCAGAGAGCGTAGCAGGATAGCTCTTACAAGAGCTAGTGATTAGAACCCAGGGGAGTATAGCAATCCCCAGTGTGAATATAGCAGTTCCCCTCCAATCACGAGACCAAGCTACATGTTGAGAGTTGTGACGAGAGCAATCTCGCCACATTGCATTGGAGAAGCCTGGTTGCTCGCCTGTTGCCTTTGGATTATGGCCCCATGTTAAAAGGCTTGATTTTCCCCTGCAAAGACAAGAAAGCCGGGTCATTTGGTGCTTGCCCTGTTTGAGCAGTGATACCCCAGATAGCTATGCCAGGGAGCCCATTCGTATAATGAAAGACTATGGGAAAGACTTTGGCTCCATGGCAATTGAACTGTATGTGTGTGCTCTGAGCGCCATTCAGTAATAATGTGCGCTCAGATCTGAGCTATCTGGGGATATGTTGAATGTACCTGTTTTGTGCAATGGCTGCACAGTTATATGTTTTTATGTGTTTTACTGTCTTTTGCTGCCATGTGTTCAATGGAGTTTTGCCTCTGTCCTTGGAGATAATTGGATTACTTCCCAATTATCTCCAGGATAGAAGACTCTGTGGAACTGGTTTTGGGCAGAAAAGCCATGCTTCCTTTGGTCACAAAGGACTACGATCTATCTTTTGAACCACTGGACCAATTTGTATGATTTTGACGTATGTTTGTATTTGGAGTATGCGGATTCTGAAAATGTATTTATGTGAATGTGATGCATACTTTTCAAGTTATGAATAATGTGAAAAAATTGTATTTTTCTGCTTGTGCTAAATTACATTACCCATTGTGTAAGGTAATTGAATCACATGCAGAGGGGAGGAATTTGTGTGGGAGTGTCTGAGTGTATTGTATGTGTTTATTGGTTGTGTTCCAAAACCCTGTGGGTGGTACTAATGTGTTAGCATGTGTACATAAGCACAATAAACCAACAGCTCTGTCTGTTCACTGCTTGACCCTCAACACGGAGCTTTGTCTCGTTCTTGGGGGGATTTATTGTATGCTGTTAGAGACTGATTGCCAGGAGTGTAAGCTGCTTGGGTGCTTTTCCTGTTCAGCTGCTAGCAGCTATTCGTGAGGTTCCAGTTCTGGAATTTGGAGTGCTACTTGGTATCCTGTTCGGGAGTTTGGTGTTCTGCAGTAGCTGTGTCTGTGCATCTGGAAGGGGAAGATCTACTAAACAGTTTTTACCCCTTGTGTGCAAAACGGTCCGTTACAAGGGTAAAACAGGAACAGATTTTTAATGGAGGCACACTGGCCTTTTATGCAAGTTTCCCAACAAGGGTGACACCCAGGTGGACCTTGTTGGGCACAGGGATACAAAGTGAATAAACCAATAAAAACAGAGTCATACAGTGAGACACTCACATACACAAACAATAGAATCCCTCCTCTGTGCTTGGGAGATAATTGAATCTAACTCAATTATCTCCAAGCGCAGAAAAACATGCAATTTTATGAAACCCCCAAAACGTACCTTAAAAACACATAAAACCACATAAAGGTTACATTCCCTGATAGCCCCAATTTGGGTGAGCAACTTATCAAAAAATCACCCAGATCGGTTCAGGAATTTCCTGGAAGTCATAGTTTTGACCAACCGTGCACAAGGTCCTATGCCCAAAACAGTTCCAGGGAAATCAGTGCTAACAGTCGGTCAAGTTTGGTAGTCTTTTACAGGTTTCCCTGCAGGGCCCATAGTCTGTGGGCAGGAGGCTGGCAACCAGGCCCCTCCACGTACAAGTGGCGAGGTTACTTTCACCACAAAGTCTTAGCCCAAAACAGTTTCAGGGAGAAAGAGGCCACGGCCAGTCAGTCAATGTTCGGAAATTCCTGTAAGAAAATTACCAAATGTCCCTCATGGCTCTTAGGTAGTGAATGTTCCTCGTAGATCACTGAGTCTTTTCCCCAAACAGTGCTCTCCTGACTTGTCTGTAAGTGGAGCAGGCGGTCATACAAGTTCACCAGGATTCTATTTAGTGACTGAATATAGTTCCATGCGCTTGACGACAAAGTACCGCTGCCTGTGTTTGGCAGACAAGATTGCCGCCATTACAAAGAGCATGTGTTTTCGGTTATATGAATGGCGGCCTCCCAGGAAGAGCACTTGAGATAACACCTTCTTTGAAATTAATGAGCTAGGGGGTGGTCTGGATCTCGGGAGTATAAAAAGGGGAACAAAAAACTCAATTTGGGAACCAAACAGGGGGTACAGTCATGGGGTAGTCTGTCACAGTTTGTTACACAGGCAAAATAAGTGAGAATTGAGTTTAAATGGCAGTATTGAATTGCTGTAAACAAACTGAGTGAGCAATTTAATAGAGCTGCTAGTCAGGGCTAAATAGCCAGGTGTCTGATGGTTGTGTCACGCTAGTTAGCTACAGATTTTCCACACTCTGAAAGAGAGTCACTAATGCCACAGATTGGATGTAAGCTTGGCTTTCTCAGGGTGGAATGGA